TGATTTGGAGTTGCTTTTCCATTATACCAATCACAGATGATATACTAGACTGCGAATCTCACCTACTGTCAACTTCATAAAATCACACCTAAAATATTAAGAAAAATAGGAGATAAGTATGCCTGCTGAGTCCACAGTGATCCAAATGCAACTTACCAGCAAATTAATATTCTTAACAGAAAGGCATTAAGGCATAAGATTATCTGACATGATGCAGGAAAGAATTATGCTATAGGTGATTCTGAGTCAGAAGATTCTGGTCCTGAATCTGATCATGAATCTATTCCTGAGACAAGCGACAGTTTAAAATCCCAAACACAGGCTTCTTTGCCAGTGTTCTAACCTAATCCTCAAAAGTCTCAAACAATAGAAATGGATTCCATGTTAGCTGAAATTGATGCAATGTTAGCTGAAATTCAGAAATAAATTCCTCACTTGTAGCTTTGGTACTGCAGAAGATTGTGTGACAAAATAGGTGGATCACCAGACAGGTTTGTATGACATCTTAATTTTCGCATATATTAAAAGAAAATATTAGCTAATAATAGCCTTATTTTTCGATTGAAAATTCTTCTAATCATATAAAATGCATACAGCTAATTTACTTGATCAGCTTATGCCTGAATTAATACCATTTATTCTAAAGAATTTATCGATACAGGATCTCTATAATTGTAATAGCATAAATAATATATGGAAAAAAGAAGTCAGTCTCAAACTGTTTAAAAGACTCAAAAAAGAACAACTTCTATATCAAGATCTCATATTTGAAAAGTTGTAGTACCAGCCTAAAGGTTTTTATTAAACCGCTGAAAAAATGTGGGATGTTTGTAAGAAAATATCTCTCTGGGATCAGATCGGATATAATTTTACTCTTGCAAATATTAAATATTAGCTAAACAAACAGGATATACATCAGTTAAGGTTCAAAACTCTGCAGATGATTGTTCGACCATCCCCATTTAGGCTGATTCAGAGCAGAAATCATCAGCTCAGAAGAATTTTTTGAGCCACAGATTGTGTATTACTGGCCTTATTTTTTCTGATTGAAAATCTCCAAATCATATAAAATGTATATAGTTAATTTATTTGATTAGCTTACGCTAGAATTAATACCATTTATTCTAAAAAATCTTTCAATATAGGATCTTAAAAAATGTTGCAGTATAAATAATACAGTATATGGAAAGATGAGGTGATTTGAGAAATTTGCAAAAGATTAATGGTGGATTGTACATTCATTCAAGCTAAAGTAACTGTTAAAGCACTTATTGATCCCAAATCCTTTCATGGTAGCATTAGTAAGGCACTTGCCCAAAAAAATGGATTTATATATTTCTAGAGAATATGGATCAGGATATCCTGCAGTGAGAAACCTAGCATTGGCGTAATAAATACTAGCAAAAAAGTGATGAGAAGGGGATGGGTTAATAGAGAAGAAGTTTCAGTCACTTTGCCAAATATCTTTGATAATATAGTATCCCCTTCATATTTTGGAAAAGATACAGCAAATTTTGTAGTTGTTAACAAGCCTGAATATGATTTGGTTTTAGGAACTGTATGGCTAATGTATACAGGATATGCTGTTGACAGACATCAAAACCTATCATGGTACATTAATAAACCTAAAGAGATTGAAGAACAAGAAAGGAAAAAAAGTCAATATCGCTGTAGAAAAAATCTTGGGAATTGAGCTGGCTCAGAATAAGATATCTCTATTACCGATTCTGAAGAGGCATTGGAAGCGCAAATGAAACCCTTAATTTCAGCTAAGGATTATGAAGATGTATATTTTGATAATGATCCTATACCTCAGTCAGTAAAAGAAACAAATGAAAAGTTACTTCGCAATCAAATAGGGTAGATGATGATGGTGACTATAGTCATGACAATAATTCTGAAAAAGAAATGCTAGATGATTCGGATAATAAATATAATGAATATGGTGGATACAGTAGATGTGGTAGAGGTTATTATTATCAAGATGGAAGATATGAAAGGAAAGTCTCACCAATGATGAGTCCTATTATATCTCCGGTATCCGCCTAGGAGAATTATTGAATGGATTGTAAACTGAATTATTATATAGGTTTATTTTTTTTTTCAGCTGAATCAAAATCAGCAGATTAATAGACAATAGGGTTGCCATATTTATTCCATGTTTTGTGATAATCATAGCATCAGAAAGTGACAGTTCCACAGTCGCATTACGCAAAATCGATCTACGATTTGTTAATTAACTTCTAATCCATGATGTGACACTTTTCCTAACTGTAAATACTATTCCGGCTTCCTGTGATCCAAATACTTCATATCTTGGCTTATTTTGAAGCTCTTGGTGTCCTGCATCTGATCGAATTGGTTTGGGATTTCTAACTCTTCTGAAGCATGTTAAGTAGACAGTTGAAGTTTCAATCCTTATTTAGTTCTAATAATACATTTTGGGATTCACTGGGTAGCTATGAATTCTTACATAACAACCTACTAATTTCTTACCTCCTTTAGGTTCTCAGAACTAAAAACTAGTATTTTGTAGGTTGCCAGATTACAGTCATACCTCTCTATAGCGAATTTTTATATAACGAATTTTTTGGACAACTATATTAAATTTACCCTCGTTATAACGAACTAGCCAATCAAATTCTTTAAAAAATTCACTATAGCTCTATAGCGAAGTTGAAGTTCAGGACATAAAATTCGTTATATCAAGGGTTGACTGTATCATCACTTCTCACGCCACTTTGACAATGTAGTCTCTCCAAGATTCTTTCGTGGTTATATCCAAAATAATTGGCTTTACGATTTTCTGAATAACTACGCATCCAGTAATTGAAATTTCACGAAATTTGAGATTATAAAAGTTCAAAACCGGCCGAATCCAGTCGTTTAATCCACATCTAAATTAGGTCATTGGTTGACTAGATATTCGCGTTCCAAATTCGTTATGGCAAATCGGACTTATATGGTTGATTTATAACAATTCTCGACCTTACCTTTGTATTTATTCAATGTATTGCAAATAAAAAAAGTATATCACTTAATTTTTCATGTATGATTATTTGACCAGTAATGATACATTTATAAATGCTAATAATTTTGACTTTATTGATTAATAAGAGACCTGCATGTTAATATGCTTAATTTCAAAATTCAGGATCGGCTAATTATTAGAAAATAGGATTGTCAGCGACTTTCATGTTTTGCAACGATTGTAGCGATGAACTGTGGAGAAATTTTATTTATAAAAATACTGGATATAGAGGTGGTAATTTGCATATGTTTTGTATTTGATCATGTCTTTAAACAGTCTTAAGAATCTTGCTTATAACATCTTGAGGATGAATCTGTTAGAGACATGAAAGTTCCAGAGCTAGGACCATATTCAGAGTGTAATAACGAGATCCTAATACTTCCTATCAAGGCATTCACAGTACTTAGCTATAGTCATGTTTTTCATAAACTTTGTATTGAGAGAAAACTTTTACACATTTCTACTGGTGTGTGTCTATTTCCCGATTGTAGAAAGAATATTGAGATAATTGTTGATGATTCTTCTGAAGTTGACAGTAGGTGAGATTCGCAGTCTAGTATATCATCTGTGATTGGTATAATGGAAAAGCAACTCCAAATCA